ATAGAATCATATAGAATCCTAGAACAATTCAGGTTGGAAAAGACCCTTGGGATCATCGAGTCCAACCATTGACCCTACACTACAAGTTCACCCCTAAACCACACCACCCAACACCACATCTAAGCGACACTTGAACACATCCAGGGATGGCGACTCAACCCCCTCCCCAGGCAGTCTGTGCCAGGGTCTGACCTCTCTTTCCGTGAAGAATTTCTTCCTCATGTCCAGCCTAAACTTGCCCTGTTGCAACTTGCAACCATTCCCCCTGGTTCTGTCCCTAATTCCCTGTGAGAAGAGACCAGCACCAACCTCTCCACAATGTCCTTTCAAGTAACTGTAGAGCATGAGGAGATCCCCCCTCAGCCTCCTCTTGGTCAAACTGAACAGCCCCAGCTCCCTCAATTGCTCCTCATAAGGTCTGTTCTCCAGGAAGGAGAAGTAGATCAAACTAGAAGGAGATCAAACTAGAGGATGGTAACAGCCTTTCCAGCATGACTGTAAAAAAGATTAATGGGTCCTGCCTCCTCCCAGCAATCAGTCAAACCACACAGTTCTCCTTTCTTCCGCATTCACTCACCGTGAACTCCCCCGTGACAGCGTCGAACCCTACATGAATCGTGTGTTCGAAGTCTGAAGGGAGGGAGATCTCCGGCCGCTCTTTCTCTTTCTTTTTATTGGCTGCGAGAGACAACGACAACAAAAATCCATAAATCCATCAAGAATTAAAATGTGCCTGAGTGCTTCAAACCTACCTACTCAACCACAACCCCCTTCAGCTACTCGTAGGGTTTCGATGTGGGGCAGGAAATGGCGAGTTTAAAAGCTGCGTGACCTCAGCCACAGCGAGCAGACAACAAAAATCCAAGTCCTGCGACAGGAGAAGCTTTAAGACAAGGAAACTGGTATTTTGGGTATGTCAAGTATCGGCAGGTAGGTCTAGCCTCAAGAGCACAAGATCTCTTTACCTAAAATATTCACTCAAAGTTATAGAGGTCAGAGTCAAAAGCACAGCAGGGGTAAGTGGAAGCCAGGAAGCTTTGAACACGTTTATTTATTCATTGATTTAAAACATTATTATGTGCTGTTAAATACACACTCCCCTCTGGTGTTAAGACAAAATTAGCAACAGCTACTGCTTATAAATTGCTTCCCTCATCCTACTTCCTCAGCACAGAGTTTATGGAGAAAAACCAAGGCCACGTGTATGTCTCCACTGCAAACGTGGCACGAGCAAAACCATTTATACTCTTCTGCTCACAAAATGGACTAAATGCGGTTTTAGTTTTAGAGCAGGAGTCGTGAAGAAACGGGGAAGGAAGTAAATCAAAGCAGATGCACCTCGCAGATTTTAAAGTTGGATCTTCAAACAAGATCATCGTTATGCCTGGGATTAAGTTCATCCATATTCATGACGTATTAAGGGCTCCACCTCCCCATTAATATTTGCTGCATTCAAGAAATGGAGATCAGTTTAAGGAAGAACCACGTTCTGCTCGGATTTGCTGCTACTTGCAGCTTTGTGATTCTACAATTCTATAAAACATGCAGAGCCGGGAGAAGGTGACTAAAAAACCACTCTGCACCTAAAGCCAAACAGAATTTGCTTCATCGGTGCGTTTTTGGCAACACGAGTGCCAAACCCAAGGTATTCAGACACCTGTGAGGCGAATGCTCAATATTTATGCAATTCAGCCACCGCTGCTGGTTAGCTGTGTAGAGATGGTCAGGGCTTGCCCTGAAGGACCGAATCCTGGTGCCTTCCGAGCCAGCTCTGGTGCTGTTCCACCCCACAAAGTCATTTCAGAGAAAGAAAAGGATTGGGTGCTCCATTTGGGGCACAAAGACAAACAGATTGTTTTCTATCTCTCTTTCGAAGGAAGGAGATGGGGGAAGCTCCATCACGGGAGAGTGACCAAGAAGAAGGAGGAGAGAAAGGTGGAGGAGCCGTCATGGAGCGGGGAGCTAAGCAGGAGACAGAAGCAGCGGCTGGGGAGCAGATGGTGACCATCTGCAGGACCGGGGCCAGACAAAGAAGGAAAAAGCATCCAGGTGTGTAGAAAAAGCTGAGTGGGAAGCAAGAGGAAAAGAGATACAGAGAGAGCCAGAAGCACCATATCCTACAGGCTTCTCATTCCTTCACGCCAAAGCACAAGGTGTCAGCTCAGGCCATCACTCCAAGAATCACAGAATGTTAGAGGTTGGAAGGGAGTTCTGAAGATCATCCAGTCCAACTAGACAGTCAGTTGAGCCAGAGCAGGATCACCTCGAGTAGATCCCACAGGAACACGTCCAGGTGGGTTTGGAAAGTCTCCAGAGATGGAGGCTCCACCACCTCTCTGGGCAGCCTGGGCCAGGGCTCCGGCACCCTCCCAGTAAAGAAGCATTTCCTTAGGGTGAGCTTGAACCTCCTGTTTTCCAGTTTGTGACCAGGGGAAGAAGAAGAGGGCACCTGTACCAGCACTGCTATGCAGGCGTGCCGCACGGGTGATGCACACCCACACACGAGCCAGGACATCTGCTGCAGTGGATCTGAATGCAATCCTAACAAAAACTTAAAGGCTTGAAGTTGCTCTCCAGAAGTCAACACTCTCTGGTGGTTATTTTATTACCCAAGCTCTCTGCTGCATACCCAAACCCCAACAAACATCTCTCCAACCAACGGTTCCGGTGTCCGCTGAACCAGTAAACAGAGACGACTGCTGACTCCTAAACTTATCCAAAGCAGGAGACGATGGCCCGAATGAGCCTCTGCCACACAGAGCAATAAAAACACTTCTGGAGGGACTGGGGAAGTACCATGATGGCCTCTTGTCTCAACAGCGCTTCAGTTCTCTGTTCAGGTTCAACATAGGGGAGTTTCATAGAATCCTTCAGGTTGGAAAATCATCGAGTCCAACCACTGACCCTGCTCTACAGAGTTCACCCCTAAACCATCTCCCCCAACCCCACATCTCAGCGACCTTGAAACCCCTCCAGGGGTGGGGACTCAACCCCCTCCCTGGGCAGCCTGTGCCAAGCTCTGACGGCTCTTGCTGGGAAAACATTTTCCTGCTGCCCAGTGTGACCCTGCCCTGGTGCAGTTTGCAGCCGTTCCCTCTGGTTCTGTCGCTCCTTCCCAGTGAGAACCAGCCCCAACCTCTCCACAACGTCCTGTCAGGCAGTTGCAGAGAGGGATGAGGGCTCCCCTCAGCCTCCTCTTCCTCAAACTCAACAGCCCCAGCTCCTTCATCACATTTATTCCCCAGCTCCATCGCCCTCCTCTGCCCTTGCTGCAGCCCCTCGAGATCTCTCTTGGGTTGAGGTGCCCAGAACTGGACACAACACTCCAGGGGTGGCCTCCCCAGGGCCAAGCACAGGGGGACAATCCCCTCCCACACCACGACATAGAAATGGAAAGAGATTTTTCTGCATTTATGGCTCTAGTTTTCACACCCCTGAAGCAGTCAATGTTCCACCAAACATTTTTGTTTCCTGCAGCCGTTTCCTACGGTGTCTCAAGATTTCGCATTTTCCCTGACTCTTAATAACTCTTTGGGACAGCTACCACAAACTCCTGTTAAAATCACTTTGCATTAGTGAAAAATCATAGAATTATAGAATGGCCTAGGCTGGAAGGGACCTTAGAGATCATCTAGTCCAACCTCCCTATCATGGGCAGGGACGCCACCTCTCGAATAGACCAGGCAACATATGGGGACCGAGCGGGAATCGAACCCGCGATCTCGTTGTTGTCATTGTTGTCAGCACCATGCTCAAACCACTGAGCTGTATGTCACAGCAGGCAAAACCATACCTGCTCTGCACACTTTTGTTTAAATCTGCCTGCTGCCACACTCAGGCTTTTATGCACCCAGACTGAATTCACCATCGTGGGAACGCCCATGAAGCTGGCACGTGAACTCACAGATTTTCCTCCAGTGGTCTCAAAGGATAATGAACTTCAGAAGCTTTTGATCCAAAATCTGACAGATCTAAAAGCCTACACACATTAAACCACTAATTACACAGCTGCTCATTTATGTCGTAGCAGGAGGTATAAGATAAAAAGAATTAGAGAGGGGCGCTCCCCATCTTGCTGAACACTTCATCCTCCTCTACAGAGATTATGCTCTTCTTGCAATGAGTCTAAAGCCTTGAAGAATCTTAAACAAAACAAAAACAAAAAGGGAAATCATCTATCTGTTTAAGAAGGCCTAGCTACACCCAACACCAACACCTTACCACCTTCTCGTTCAGAACCTCACACGGCTGATGCTGTTACAAGAGCCATCCATCCATCCATCCAGTTCCCTTATGATGCTCCAGCAACTTGGGCTGCAACGAGGAAGTGCCACATCCCACCGTGAAGTAAACCCTGAGCTCATCCTGAAGCATCTCATGATGAAAAAGGTCTTCACCACCCGTAACACCACAGAAAGGGCTCCGGGGCGCTACCCTGGGGGTAAAACCCTGCCTCTGTGTGAAGCCTCAGCTAAGCTCAGCAAAGCTCTGAGGAGCTACATGTGCCACGTTCAAGTCAAATGCATTCCCTCAGCTATGACACTGATGAGCTCTGAGCCCAAGAAACTTCAGATTTTCCCAACTTCATCGAAAGCAACAAGTCACAAGAGCTCTGCATCCAGAAGAGACACCCAGTGTTAAGCTAAGAAGTTTTTAAATACCAGTTTTGGTGTTTTAAATACCAGTTTGGGGGTTTTAAATACCAGTTTTGGCTTTTTAAATACCAGTTCTGGGGTTCAGGCTGCGACAGAGGAAATCAGGACTACAAATTACATCCTGAATTTTGCAAGCAGAGCACGACGCCTCCAGAGCAGCCTGGCAAGGGAACGTGGCTCAATGGAAACATGCAAACACGTACAAGGGCCCAGGATTTAATTCCCATGTGTCCCTCACACCACAGGCGTAGTGCAACAGCAAAGTCACTTTTCAAAGCATCCTCTGCTGGAACTGCCCTTCTTAACTCAACGACCTGCAAAAGATGCCGTCAAGATGTCTCCCCCTTGCTGGCCTCCTCTTTGATCTGGACCCCAGTCTGTCACCCGCTCCGCGTGTACACGTCGCGCCTTCGCATCGAGCACAACCCCTTCAGCACCTTTCCCACCCATCCTTCGTGAAGCGCCCGCTCCAGCACGGTTCCCACCCAAGGAGCTACCACTTTGCCAAAGGGATTGAGCGCATCGACTCCAGCAGCTCTCGAGCTACATCATAAAAGCCCACAATCCGTATTTGCTAACAAAATTAACCGCTGAGCATTTCAGGTCTTCGCAGGCTCTTTGGAACCATGAGGTTCAACACAAATCACCGGCTTCTCTGGAAAAAAAGATCTGAAGGTTGTGGATTTGCCCCAAATTGCATTCCTCTAGGTGAAGGGAAACCCTCTCCCTTTTTCATCCAGCCAAACTAACAAATAACACCACAACTATTTCAGGCGCAAACCAAAAAGAGATGTCTGAACACCTGGGAATTTAATGAATGTTGAAGCACAAGAGGCACTGGGAATTTAATTGTCATCACAAGAATTAAAAAAAAAGAAAAAAATAAACCAATCTAAAGTGATGGTGACAGCGTTAAAGGTATTTTTATGCCCAACAGGAATTATTAGAGGACAGAAGAAACGATGCTCCTTCGGGCAGGTGTATTGCGACAGAAGGCTCTGCTGGGCTTGGCTAAACCAAAATCTCTCACGTCTCAAAGCAGCTGCCACGTTGGCCAATCTTCAAACCAGGGGCCGGGTGCCTGCTCACCTCCCCCAGACCATCCGCTTGTGCGGCTCTCCTTTAAAACCCAGCCCAAACCAGCATTTCGGGTTGGGATTTTTTTTTTTTTTTTTACTCTCTTACAGATTTCAGGTGATTTCTTTGTTCTTTGCAACGGCTGAGCCTAGAGGTTTTCAAAAAAACCCACTTCCCTAAGTAAGCCAACACAAAAATCCTGCAGCTTTTGGGGATGAATGTTCATAACGGCAAGTTCTAGCTGAGACCCAGCAAACTTTTAACATGGAGTTCACGGGTTTCTGCGTTGCGCAATCAAAAATCCACATTTGCAAAACAGTCCAAAGGTACCAGGTAATAATGACAATGAATGCTGCAAGGTTTTGTAGAAAATGCACCTACATCTTGCTTATTTAAATTACTAACTATAACTCCATCTGGTTTTTTTGCCAGCAAAAATTAAGAGACAGCCTCTCCACTGAAGGCCAAGAAGCTGAAGATACCAAGGTCTGACTTCAGTTACCCGGTGTCCTGGTACCATTGCAACGCAGACTCTACAAAAAAATGATGTATTGGAAAGAGGAACTCCAAGAAATAGGTCATATATAAAAAGAAACAAGCACATATTAGGGGATTGAGATTTTTTTTTCCCCTTACATCACTTCAAAAGATTTACCAGAAAAAGGGTCTTTTTTCTTTAAATGTCCTGATCTTAAAAATTAGAATTTCGTGTACAGTTCACAGAAACACGCAAGAATTTGCAGTAACAGATTGTTCTTAGCAGCAAGCAGACAACGCCTGACCCAGACACCAGACCAGAATAAATGACCAGGCAGCAGCAGAAGACAAGCCTAGCAGGAGACGGCCTGTTAGTCCTGCTTAACTCAAATTATTCGCTGCTTAAAACAACAAACAAGCAAAAGAAACCCCACCAAAGGAACTAACTTTAACCTCCCAGCTTGCAATCAGTACAAAAAAATTACGATTTTCAAGAGCGTTAAGCCCAAGTCAGGCTGGGAAGCGGCAGAGCTATCCCCAGTTTTCGGGGACGTATCATTTAAGAGGAAAGAGAAAAAAAAGTAAAAAAAGAAAAAAAAAAAAGAGTGAGATTAATGAAATACAGCATGATTAATTACTAGAAAAAACAGATTGACAGCCAGCACCTTATATACCCCAAAATGACCAAAGCCGGTCATGCAGGAAATGAGCACACGACGTTTTCTGACACCCAACCCATCACTAAGCATCGGGTGCTCAACTGCAGGCGTTCAGAGCTCCATTCACACAGGAGGGTTATAAGAAAAGACAAAAACACTGTACTTTTATCTCCCGGTAAAATAGATCGGTAAAATCGGTCCTTCCTTTTCTTTTCTTCCGGGTTGGGAGGCAAAGGTTTTGAGCCGTGGTTTAAAGTCCCAGCATCTTTGCTTCCCGTTCCAAGCATTGTGCTGGTATTTCTCATCGGAGGAGCCGGCGGTTTGTCTTCGGTTTCAACTCCATTGTTAGACATCTTCAGCTGGGGAGGCCGTCACTAGGGACAGGAAAAAGAAGAGAAATCAGCAGCCTTATTCATTTTTTGTAGGCTAGAATCTGTCAAATAAACCACGAGCGGGTATTTGCGGACGAGTCTGCAACCTCATATCAACGACCCAAGGTCAGCGCAACAAATTCTACTCAGGCTCCCGTTTTTTTCAGCTAACAACACTATGTTCAATTGTTTGAGTTATTGATCAAGAAAAGTCTGTTTCAGGATACAGCCAATTCTCAAGCAAACCGTGGGGCAGAAACATAGGGTGGGGAGGCAAAACAATAAATCAAGGTAGTGAAGCGTGCTGATACCCAAGATGAACCAACGAGTCGCCAAGCTTGTAAGACCGTAAATCAGTACTGGCTCCACTAAAAACCACATCAGAGTTGTTGGAGTTGGAAGGGACCCCTAGAGGTCACTCTGTGCCAACCCCTGCCCGAGTAGGGTCACCCAGGGCAGCCCCACAGGAACGCGTCCAGGCGGGTTGGAAAGTCTCCAGAGCAGGAGACTCCACACCCTCCCTGGGCAGCCTGGGCCAGGGCTCTGTCACTCTCAGGGTAAATAAGTTCTTCCCCATATTTAGATGAAACTCCCCATGTTCCAGTTTGTGTCCCTTGCCCCTTGTCCTGTCACTGGGCACCACTGGAACGAGACCAGCTCCATCCTCCCTGCACCCACCCTCTAGATGTTTATAGACATAGATAAGGTCTCCTCTCAGCCTTCTCCAGGCTAAACAGTCGCAGCTCTCTCAACTTTTCCTCATAAGAGGCATGCTCCAGCCCTCAATCATAGAATCACAGAATCGTAGAACAATTCAGGTTGGAAAAGACCCTTGGGATCATCGGGGCCAACCATTGACCCTACACTACAAGTTCACCCCTAAACCACATCACCCAACACCACATCTAAGCGACACTTGAACACATCCAGGGATGGCGACTCAACCCCCTCCCTAGGTAGTCTGGTCAAGGGTCTGACCTCTCTTTCCATGAAGAATTTCTTCCTAATGTCCAGCCTAAACTTGCCCTGTTGCAACTTGCAACCATTCCCCTGGTTCTGTCCCTAATTCCCTGTGAGAAGAGACCAGCACCAACCTCTCTACAATGTCCTTTCAAGTAATGGTACAGCATGATGAGGTCCCCCCTCAGCCTCCTCCTCTTCGTTGCCCTCTGCTGGGCTCTCCCCAGTAGCTCCCTGTCTCTCTTGACCTGGGGAGCCCAGAACTGGACACACAAAAATTTGGGTCAGTCTCCAGCACAGTGTGGCGCAGAGAGACTCAAGTTTGCAGCATCGGCCAGGAACCCACCTCACGGCAGACACGGGGCCGTGGCCCTTGCCAGTCCCAAACCAGCCCCAGTTTTTCCATGGCAGCAACATGCTTCAGGCACAATCCAACCCGCCGGGAAGCTGACTGAGCTTCATTCCCTTGGAACGGTCAACCAAAACTTAGATCCCCAACACGCATGTAAATCCTTAAGTAAATAATCCCCGCTGTGCAGATTTAAAGACGGAAGCTTTGGAACAGGGTAATAGATTATTCTGCAACAAACAGCTTGTTCCACCCAAATGAGATTGGTGTTACACAGCCAGGCCGCGGCAAGATTCTTCTGGAAACTGGAATTTGTCTGCGTGACGTTCTCTGAAGAAAGTTGGGAGCTAACTGCAGAGCAATAGACCAGAACAGGAACAGTTTCTGGGTGGAAAAAGCAAGCTCCTGGTTATCAATATGGAAAGGGGGAGTGTCAGGAGGACGGAGTCAGGCTCTGCTCAGGGATGGCCAGGGGCAGGACAAGGGGCAGCGGGTGCAAGCTGGAGCACAGGAGGTTCCACAAAAACATGTGGAGAAACTTATTCAGTGTGTGGGTGCCGGAGCCCTGGCCCAGGCTGCCCAGAGAGGGTGTGGAGTCTCCTGCTCTGGAGACTTTCCAACCCACCTGGACGCGTTCCTGTGGGGCTGCCCTGGGTGACCCTGCTCTGGCAGGGGGTGTGCTCCAGAGCTCCCTTCCAACCCCAACATTCTGTGATTCTGTGATACCACAGTCCTACAACCACCCGCACCACCCAGCCAGCTTTCAAGGCTTTCTTCAGCCAAGCTACTGATGCTCAGACGGGGACGCAGGGCACGCTGCTCTCGGGGAGCGAAGGGAAGCAAACGTTGCCCGCAGAAGGCACTCAGTGACAGCGCGTTAGGCTCTGTTGAAAGCAGCAGCTCCCGAGGTGTTGCCTGCCAAGCTGTGGCTGGTCTGCAGCTCCACCTTCTTCTCCTAACACAGCTGTGCGATGGAATTTTAAACGACTAGTATTTGGGGTACCGATTTTAAGGGTGGGATAGTTTTGGCATTTGGGAGGGGTGGGGGGAAATCAGCTGTGCATTTATCTGGGCGGGTTCTGGCCCATTCCCTGGGCATCTCCCATGCTTCAGCCTCGTGCCATTCTCCAGTCAAAAATGAAGCAGAAGTGCCAGCTGCCAAGTGGTGGAAACGACTGCTCTCCTGTCTAAGCAGTGGGAAAAAAAGTCAGAACTAAAACCCAACCGGTAAATTTGGCAACGTGAAAACCCTGAGGCCTCAGTGACGGGCTCTGCACATCCCAGGGTCAGTGGCTGGTACTCAACAGGCACGACTAAAGCGTTTCAAACAACAGCAGCAGAAGTGCCACACAAGAGCTGAGTTCTTCGCAGTGACGCTTATTTAACCACGAGATTAGGGGGCCGGTTAGCTCAGTGGTTTGAGCGTGGTAAAGCAAATTGCTGAGGGGTGCTGCAAACAGGGAAGTAGAAGGAAAGTGAGTGTCAGCACCTCTGTGCTAGAAGAGGAAGAAGCCCCCTGTCCCACAAAATGGGTAGAGGCTGGTCTAGTGCTGAAGGAAGGAAAAAGAACATAAGAAAAAAAAAAACAACAAACCCACATCGTAAGAGAAGCCTCTGGATGTCAGGCACCCTCACTTTCAGTTCCACCAGTGCAAAACCCCAGGGACATCTGCTCACAGTTTCTCCAGTATAAGAGGGCTTTTCAAAGTCCCTCCGTTGGAAAGGACAGAACACAAGTGAGTTACTGTTCTACTGCAGGGCTAGAAACACAGGCAGAGCAAGCTTGTGTTTATCTTCCATTATTCCCTGACTGAGCAAGTACCTGCTGAGGAGTCAGGTAGTTTAACAGACAATATTGTCTCACCGCCATTGGACAACTGCAGCTTTCCTGTGGGCAACCCTAATCGCTCTCTTTTATTTTTCCATTGCTCAAGCCCCCAGACCTCCCTCCTCCAAGCCTTACGTTTGGAGTTACAAGAGCGATTTCACCTGTTTGGAGACGAGAGGGATCCTTCAACACACCCAACTGAGAGACTGCAGTCCGATGAGGGAACACATTTTGGCTACAGGCACAATTATTCTCAGCTACTAGATCTATAGGAAAGGACCAGCACTCAAACCAAACCCCTCCTCAGATACCACCAGTAAGGCACAGCCGTGATGTAGGACTATTGTTTCTGAAGCCACTGGGGAGTACTAAAAGGCTGGGGGTTTTCAGCACACAGTATTTACAAAAATACAAGTTTTACTACAACGTGCAACCTATGACAATCAGAAATAAGTCACAGAGGCCTTCAAATGCTCCCTGCTCCTCTCCATCGACTTTCGAAGCCCGGCAGCTGCAGTAGATTATGACCCCTGCCTCAACAAGGTCAAACAGACCAGACAAAAAAAAAAATCCCCTTCCACACCCCCAGAATGATTCTGCAGACAGGAAGGAGTGACAGACAACCACGGGACTCAGGAAACCACTCGGCCGCTCAAGCGGAGGTTGCAGAAGACGGCACCCACCGGTGTCCATAGCAGCCCCCAAAAATTCAGATTACTCGGACGCACGGAGATCCGCGTTAAGGTTCAAAATCATGAGGTTTATGGCCAAACCCCTCCTGTAACACAGGCGCAGGCTCCTCAGCTGATCTTCTAGCAAAGTGGGACCTCAACATATGTGGAGCCTTCTGGCACTACCGTGTGTAACACACAGTGCAAGAAAGAACAAAAAAAAGAGAGAACGAAGATGCTCTATTTATGTCATTTTTCCTTTTGGTAACCCACATCATTCCAAACGTGAGGCTTCACACCGAACTTGAGTTTCTCTCAAGCCGGTTGTGTTTTCTTTAGCAAGACAGGCAGGCGACTGATTGCTAAAACAGAAAGCAATTAAAAAGTCAGAGGAGCCGATACCTAGGCTACAGTCGGTGCCATAAAGAAAACTGTGTCCAATGCATACTAATTGCTCACAAAAACTCATAAAAGAGCCATCTATAATTCATGCAGTCTGGCAAAGCAGGAGCTCCAAGTTACTCGCTACGACTTACGGAAGAATAAACTATATTAAACCACAGAGGGGGGAAGGAGATGCTCAGCAATTTTTTCCCTCGCTGCCTACCACTTGTAGAAAATTTCCCATTTTCCCAAGATGCTGGTTTTCTGCTGTTGCCGGGGCGGGGAAAGGGCATCTTGCCCACAAGAAGGGCAGAAAGAGTGCTGACCTTTAAAAACTGAGCTGATCCCGATCAGAACAAGTTTTTCCTCTGCCCCAGCCCCCCTGCACCCTCCCAGCCTGCGGCTGGAGATCGCTCCTGCGCAGACACAGTTAAAATCTCCTACCTCATCCTCTTCACTCAGCCCGGCAGGAAGGAGCAGAGGTTTTTCTTTACTACTTTCCACAGGACTAAGTCTCAAACGCATTGATGGAGAGGCACCCCCCGTGTATTTCACCTGAAGAAGAGGCATGAAATGTCCTTTTCCCCCACCCGATGGGACCTGAGAGACATGCTGTCATGGAAAAGGGCAGCAGCAAGACAACATCCCGAGGGAGGACAGGCTGATTGTCACATTTCGAGGTGATTAAAAAAGAAACCGAAGCATCTAGCTGTCTCCTCAGGCACCTCCGAGCGCTGCACCAATTAAACAAAAAAAGGTCAAGGGCCATCAGCGCATCAGCCCAGACCCAACATTTACATGTGAA